GAGGAGGAGGAGATAGACACTGATCTGAGGGTGACTCAGAATGGCTACCAGCAGCATCTAACTGGAAAAAGACTACACAGTTTCTTGTGCATAGTATTAAAGGGAGGAAAAGGTTGTGTAAACTGGAGTGTTACCTGAAATCAGAGATTGAGGAAGCTAATCTTGACCTTGACAGTAAGCACCAGCCTGCCCTACTGAAGGGCCTTAAGTTCCTCTTGCCAGAGATAAGGAGAATGACTTCTTTAGCAAGCCAGTCTTTCCTCAGGCCCCAAGGGAATGGAGACTCTTATCCAAATGCCTGATCCTGGGAAAAGGACTTCTGGGGAAAAGACACTAAACTACAATTTCTTAGTCTTGCTGTGTGGGCCTGTTCCCCTCTTATGCTCCCAAAAGGGAATGTCCTGGTGTCTTACTCCTTCCCCATTATACTGGACCATTCTGATTTCTCTGTATTTGTTAGCTAAACTCCTGCCCTTAATGGCCTCAGGCTCTGGATCTGGATTGTAGGCATTTCATCCTTGGGATCAGGTGTGTCTAGTAAATCTCTAACTTTCCTGTTCTTGGCATACAATGGAATTCCTAGTTCCAAGGTGGTAGGCTTTTTAATTTCCAAAGAATAATTATGTTTAAGGCTACTGTAATGGTTTAAGTAAAATGCTGCAGGTCCCTGAGTGATGGCAGTGGGCAATGAGCCATGAGACCATGCCACAGGTTCCCAAGCAGCAGCAGGCAGCAGGCAGCAGGCAGCGGGTCCAGAGACCACAGCAGGCCACGAAGGCAGCCAGGTCCCAGGCAGGAAGCCACACAGCGGGTGAGAGACTGAGATGGATAGGCACACCATGCAGAATGAAGTTTTGGATATTTATTTAGTGGGTTTTGGAAGGGAAGAGGAGAGAGAGAGGCAGAGAGAGAGAAACAGAGGGAGTAAGGGGAAAAGTGGGGAGAGGGGAGCAAGGCAGAAGCTGCCTCTTTGAGAGAAGGGGGACAGAAAGGGAGGGACTCAGGCTGGAAGCTGAAGATCAGCTTGTCTCAGCAGAAGGGGTAGGGAGTGGACGTGGCTTGTCTCTTAAAGGGACAGGTAGATCATTGCATTCCCATCTCTTTTTTATAATAAAATGGCAGGAGGCTAGGCACAACAAGTTAAAGGAATTGGGGTGCCAGATTCTCAAGACTGCTTCCTGATTATTTGTAGGTGTTGTCTTGAAGGGTGATCCTGAGAAAACTGGATGCTGATCACATCCTGGGGTAGCTAGTCACTTTGCTCCTGTCTGGTACTTGTGGTATGGAAATGTCTGGTGTCTCTTATAGCTGTTTAAGGTATTGGCAGAACAGAGGACAAAGCGTTAGGTTTAGGAAAAAAAATTTAGGACCAGGGAATTGAGAGGGATGTATCTGACCTGTCTAAGGTGAATTCTTCAATTCAGCTCCCTAGAGCTCACAAGAATTTTTTGGGTTTGTGAAAACAGAAGTTTTAGACAGCAGCAGATGACTGTGACAGATGTTTTTGCACAATGAGAAGTATTTTTAAGATTCTGGAAGGCAGCGTGAGAGAGAAATTTCATGGTGTGTATTTGTCCTCACTCCTTTATAACTTGTAGGTATACACCTTAATAACTTGTATTTGTATTTTGTTGAAATTTGTTTGGTGAGGTTGTCCTTTTAAACAACAACGCCTCTCAGCTGTCAGACTGCATCAGAGATCTTTGAGAAGAATAAAATTTTACTTGAGTTATTGATTAAAAAACAACAGAGAACTTGCTGGGTTGGCACCTAGAGCTATTGCTCTGGTCCTCCATGATTGCTGAGAGTCGTATTTTTCTTTCTTGTTTAGCACAGGGTCCTGCCAGGTTTCAGAAGGCCCTGCGGGCTAGAAATCTGTAGGAAGACAAGCCTGCCTTGACATGCGTAGCTAGGCTGTCGATTCCAGTGATTCTGTCCACTGGTGATCTTCAGTTTAGATGAAAGAAAGATTTTTCTTGTGGTCAGCGCTTGGCAGTTGAAACGAAGTGTGGATGGACATTGTTTAGTGCCCATTTGTCTTCTCTCTTCTTTGGAGGAAAAGAGTGCTGCTGCCTGGAGCCAACCTGTCTCTTTTTGTTATGAAAAACCTTTTAATAACTAAATATTTAAATGCCATATTACCCAGATCTCTGAACAGTTGAGGGATATTTATCAGGTACAACAACAGTATACAGTCTGCCTGGAGAGCTGGGCCCAAGCTTGGCATGTTGGATTAAATATAAAGTATTTTTATAAGGGACTTAAAAGTACATACCAGTTTAAAGCATGAGACTTATTGTTTTTGTAGTCTGAAATGAGATGCAGTGAACAGACAATTATAACCTTTAAGAGTAAACATAGGTTCATTTAAGTTACATGTATAAACACACACACAGAGTGAACAGGAATTGGGGGAAGTGGATGCTCTTGGTGGACCCTACCAAAGGCATGCCACGGCACAAAACACACGTACTACAGAGTCAGCAAGAGGAAATTAGAGATAAAAACATAAGTAAACCGGGACCAGGCAGGGAATACCTCAGTAAAGATGGCAGAACTTGGTCATCTGACCTGGCTCTAAGTTAAGATGGCGGGGAAGTCACCTGAGCTCAGCCAAAATGGCAGTGGTCACATGTTATATGGAAGAGAGACTTAGAGGTGTGATCCTCCCCGTTGCTGAGCCACCATGCCACAAGCCAGGAGCAAAAAGCTGGAATTGAAAACAGCTGCCTCGTGGGTCCCACCAATCTTGTTGGCAGCAGTAGCCATGACAGGGACAGTTTCAGGAAAAGTGGAGCCAGTGGGACTGGCAGGACACCAGCAGAGAGTTTAGTCCATAGCTGAAAGCGGAAAAACCCACAAAAATGGTGACACTGCAAGGCTTATAGGGGGAAGTGTCTTCTCTATAGCTGGGGTATGAAATGGTGGCGAATGCTGCAGGGCTTGTGGAAAAGTCCTCTGTCTACAGGTGGGGTGTTAAAGTCTGACTGACTTCATTCCGGACGACTTGGAAGCCAGAGAGGCTAGAGGCCATTTCAAGTAGTCTCTCACAACGGGGACCACTGCTAAGTGGTTGAAAAGAAAAGAAAAAAAGAGAAAGAAAATTCTGAGGGACCATGTTTCCCCAGTTTAGTGCACTGCCCAGCATCTGCAGTGCTAGTGCGGGAGTACTGACCCCGGGTAGTCCAGTCATATTTTTGACTATGGAAAGCAACGAAGGGCTCAATCGTAGCCATGAAAGCTGTGGTTGGGGGCTGGAAGGGGAAAACTTACCACCAAAGCTGCTGGTGTGCATAGACGTCAGTGCTCAGGCAGATGGAACACGTGGTTGTGAAAAAACTACCTGGTTCTGGATCCCCACCCTGAGACAGGAGCGGGAGGGTCTACCAATGGCACCATTGTAATGGTTTAAGTAAAATGCTGCAGATCCCCAAGTGGTGGCGGTCGGCAGCGGGTCCATGAGACCATACCGCTGGTCCCTGAGTGGCTGCAGGCAGTGGTCTCGGTCTACTACAGGCCACCAGTGGTCTCGGTCTACTACAGGCCACAAAGACAGCCGGGTCCCAGGTAGGAAGCCATGTGGCGGGTGAAAGACTGAGACAGATAGGCACACCATGCAGAGAAAGTGGGTATTTTTTTTAGTGGGTTATGGAAGAGAAGGGAAAGAGGGGGAAGGGGAGAAGGGAAGAGAGAGCGGGGGAGGGGAGAAGGGAGGAGAAAGGAGCAAGACAGAAGCTGCCTCTTTGAGAGAGAGGTGGAAAGGGAGGGACTCAGGCTGGAGGCTGAAGATCAGCTTGCCTCAGTGGACTGGGAGGGAGTGGGCATGCTTATCTCTTAAAGGGACAGGACAACCATTATAGCTACCATTGTACACATTTTTATCCTTTACCAAAGTTTGCAAGAAGTTTCCCCAAAAGAAAGGCATTAATTTGTGAGAATCATTAAAACTGAAAGTAGAAAGGGGTTGGAGAAATGTGGTGTGCAATGTCAAAATGCAGGAACTGTGTAAAGCAGCAATGATTGCTGTAGAGTGTTCATGCAGATTTCAGCTGAGAGCACACTGCGTTTTTCTGCATGAAAGGCATTTTCACTGACTATTTTCCTAAGTAATTTGATATAATAGTTGTGAATTTAAAACATGCAAACTAAAACTGGCCATGGTAGCATATGTCCGTGATGCTGCCACTGGAGGGTTAGGGCAAAAGAATGAAAGTACAAGCCAGTTTGAGCAACAAACTTTAATCTAACTTTTTTTTCTCTGCATGCTGATTTGGTATAAATCTCTACAAGCATGTACGTGAAAAATGCCATTTTCATGTAAACAGGCTGATAATGTCACTCATTTGGTAGTGTCTTTTGCCTATTCTGCACAAAGATCTGATTTAGTTTCTATTGCCACGCAAAACCAGACTTGGTGGTGCATGCCTGTAATAGGAGGACTGTAGAGCTGGCAATAGGAGGGGAAATTCAAGGTCATTCTTAGCTGCTACTTAGTGAGTTCAAAGTCTGCAGGACTTCTTGAAACTTGGGATCCTATTTGAAAACAATTATTTTCCTTTCAAGACTGTGGCTTTTGTTTGTTTATCATTTTTTAAGTACTAAGTATGTAGTTGATAGACACATACACACACACACATACATATATATATACATTGCATACTTACATATATGATGCATAAGCATTTAAATAAAATTTTAAAATTGCATTTGGTTCAACTTTTGCTAAAACTAAAAAATATATGTTCTAAAATTTACTTTTCCATTGTTTTATGTAATATATTTTCTGTGTCTGATTTTCAAAATTTTGAATTTTGTGTTTCATATACACATAGATCTCTGACATTTTTGTTAATTTGACATGTTAATATTTTGTTAATATTATAATATACCTAATAAATGAGGCATAGTCATAACTAAAATCATTTGATCTGTAGTTTTGAGTTCACATTTGTGTGCCTATTTAAAGATAATGTATGTTTTTGCTTCCTTTCTTTTTACAGAACACACTAAATATAACAAACAATAACTATTATTCCGTTGAAGTTGAAAACATCACTGCTCAAGTTCAGTTTTCAAAGACAGTTATTGGAAAGGCACGCTTAAACAACATAACTAATATTGGCCCACTTGATATGAAGCAGGTAAGCCTCAGTCACGGACAGTCTGAGAGAGTTAAATGGGTCTGCACCCTGTGTGTTGTAAAGGAAATGAGGGGGGATGTCCTCAAAGACTTGGACATGTGTCCCATATAAGTTTTGATGATGGTTAGTGTTAGAATCCTATCCTCTGTTGATGTTTTCCTTGTTGTTTCATTGTTTTTACTTTCAGATTGATTATACGGTACCTACAGTTATTGCTGAGGAAATGAGTTACATGTAGTAAGTGTTGATTTTTAGTTGCTTTACCTTTTGTTTTCTGAATTTTTATAACGCTATCAGTTCAAATGACCACAATTTCAGTGTTGGCTCTGTTCTCTAAGCGTGCTTGGCTGTTTTGTACTCTACAGTGTATATAAGGTGTACATATGTACCTGTACCCATGAAATTCATCTTTATTTCCAAGATTTTGCATATATATTACAAAATATATATTATATATGTATATTACTTATTTTTAGTTACAATATATTCATGGTATATTAATATAGGAGTACTGAGATTTTTAATACATAATAATTTTTTATGGTCTCGTAGTTCTGATGACTTTTCAATATTGTGTGTGTGTGCTGCATGTGTGACATGCATTTGTGGAGGCTAGGGTTGTAGTTGACTGTTTTCCATTATCAGTTTCTACCTTTATCTTAAGTTAGGGTCCATTGCTGAAAACTTAAGAGTTCATTTATTTGGTGATGCTGCCTGGCCAGCAAGCACCTAATACCCTGTTCCCAACCACTAGTACTGAATTTACAAGTGCATCCTGCCATGCCCGGCTTTCAGCCTGAGTGCTTGGTATCCAAACCCTAGTCCTCATGGTTACCTAGCAAGTGTTTTACCCAAAAGCCATCTCTCTAGCACTTCTTATATATTCTTACTAGTGTCTTGCCAGGCACAACACATGGGCCCATATTCCCAGCTGTTAAGGAGGATGAGAGAGGGAAGATTATAGAGGCCAACCTACATAACGTATGGAGATTCCATCTCAAAGGGGAAAAATAAAACAGAATTAGATATTCAGTGTCTATTAGGTATAACAGAAGTTTGGTTAATAATATAGTAACATTTCTCTTCCCATTTTAATTTCTTTAACAGCGATTTCTGTACACTGGTCTCCATCAAAGTACACAACATAGTACTCATGATGCAGTAAGTATGGCCCTGTTTGCAAACATAGCTCTTGCTAAGACTTTGAGTTTATAAAGTCTTTTAGGAGATGCATCCCCATGAAAGCCATATCGGTTGGGCTTCAGTCTTACAAGAATACTATGTAAAATGTAATGTTTTCTCACTTAGCTAGCTATAGTTGCTAAGAGACAGTCAAAAACCTGCAGGCATTATGGGAAGAAGGCAGAGTTAACACTGAGAGTGTGGGCCAACCGCTGTTCCTTTCTGCTTGGTAAGTAAACTTACAGTACCAAGGAAGAATAATGCTTTGGTGGGTATTGTTGGAGCCCACAGGACTCTACAGTAAATGTATAGCTGACAGATTCAGAAAGGCAGACCCACAAGTGTACAACTTATAGGACGCCCATCTTACAGAGCTGCAGGAACACTTGTCTGTTGTAAAAGTCACTGTCATATCTGTGGAAACCTTGTGAAGCTATGATTCTTCCCTTCAAAATGGGATTCATTTCCAGAACACCTCAGCAGTGTATCCTCTGCCTAGGCAACAGAATGACCTTATCCCATTCCCCCACACCATGAGGCCTTAGAGCGATAACAGTCACTCTTTAGTTAAATTTACATAGAGCCAATCCCACAAAACTACCTGCTAATAAACCACATAGAAATTTCTATAGAAGACAAGCACTGAGCATGCCCCACCTTTGCTAACAAACAAATATGGGTGTCCCCAAAGCTGGTTATCACCAAAGAGTTTGAATGAGGAGAATGAGTGAATCCAGGACTCAGGGATGTTTAGTAACTTTATCTAATGGTTTGGAAAGTCAGGTGCTTCCCGTTGGATGCTGGCTCTTTTCTGGGTCATGTCACGACCTGTTCCATAGCACAGCTTTGTCAGGTTCTACCTGCCCTTTTTGTGATTTTGATATGCATATTATCATTGTCCTTGCCTGTGGGATTTTCCAACTATGTCTGTAAAAACTAGAAACCTTGTGGAGATCATCCCTTCTTCTTCTCCTTCTTCTTGCTACTTCTACTTCTTCCCCTTATTCTCCTTCTTTATTTTCCTTTTTCTTATGCGTCTTCTTTTCCGCACCCTTTCACTTCACTTTGCCCCTCACATGAAAAATAAAGAAGATGCAGAGGTAACGTGCTTGAGTAAATTTTTTTACCCTCAGATCATTGCTTGCCGTAGACATCCAATTCTGAGCCCTGAGCGGGTAACGAGGCTGGTAATCAAGGCCTCCGATAGGGTGTTACTTAGGTACATTAAATATTACTGGTTGCATTTGATAGTTTGGTCATTGGTTAATATTTAATTTTCATTTTTCCTATCATGAGGGAACCATGTGATTCTTTTTAAACATGTAATACACTACTTTTAGTCAAAATAACAACTTATATTTTAAGGCATTTTAAAATATATATTTTATAAATATGTTTAGCATATTCATAAAGAAATATATATTATTACCTGTTTTTATATATTATCTAAGCAGATAATGGACAGGGTTGTTCAGTTATCATTTTTGGATCTGGTGAAGAACTGTTTCCTAAGAATCCCATGTCTATAATATTGTCATCATTAATACCAAATCCAAATGATCAGTAACTGATCATTATAATTCACAGTAAGTAATTTTAGGATTTTAACTTATGAGACATAAAATGATATTAGCCTGATTTTTAACCTCAAATAATCTTCTTGGAATAATTTTTACATACAACTTGAATATTCTTTCCATTCTTTTCCTCTTTAGAGTAACTGTAACAACGACGTACTTTGGCCACTCTGAGCAAATATCTCAGGAGAGGTACCAGTACGTAGACTGTGGAAGGAACACAACTTACCAGTTGGCCCAGTCTGAGTATCTAAATGTCCTTCAGCCACAACAGTAATGCCTGAAGATGTGACAGAGCAAGAAGACACCCGAGGTTTGCTCAGAACTGTCAGTGAGGACGTATTGCCTAGAAGGACCTCTTGAATTGAGCATGTCTAAAGTGTACCTAGGACACTGAGGGTTCAGATGACAGAATCTGTTCCTTACACGGTTACTGGACTCTTGTTCTGTGTCGATGATTTGCTCATACTAGGAGCCTTTATTCGACTGTAAGTTAACTGATTGGCTTTCTTCTTATCTTCGTTCCCAAGGTGAAAAATGAGACATCCTCTAAATACAATAAATAAATATATAAAAGTCATAGACTTAATCTATAGCTCTATTGATAATATAGTTCAGTCATGAACATAATTTGAAAAATAACTTCTGAAGATTTTTCTATGAAATTACTGAAAGTCATGGAGGACTTTTAAAAACTAACCTGTTTTATAAATTCCCATTCTTACATGATGGTAGTCTTTTGACTATATAACTTAGCTATTAGCTAAATGTTTTTAGCCTTTAATTTGTTGAAATTCTACTCATTTGCATGGTTTTGTCTTATTTCTAGCTAATGATTGCATATTTACCAACCATAACAGTATGCAAAATTCTGTTCTACACTTTGTAAGAACCTCTTAGTATGTGCTTCATGTATAGCTTCGTGAACTTTTTGTGATCATCAAACGTATTCCTTTTGTGTACAATATTGTAAATAAACTGCATGACTTTTATACAGCTTTGATAAATGTCAAATGAAGTGGTACTGATTGAGAAGTAAAGCAAGTTGTTCATAAAAAATAAAGCAGGGCAATGAAATTCAGAAATCTATAAAGTATCAGTAGATTCTGACTACTTGTTAGATCTGGCATAAAATAGATATATAATAAAACAGTTTGATGCTTTACTTTTATGTTGCTTTTCATATTAAGAATTACATAAATATTTTTCACAATGATTAGGTATCATCAATTTTATGAATGCTTTATGGAAGGAAATTATTTTTACTAAAAATTATTCAAGAAATCCTTTCATTGAACATTGATGGCTATATCAAAATAAAACCTGTAGTTTAATTTTAAATATTTAGTCTTTGTAATCATACTGATTTGATGCTTTTAGCAGTTAAGTAATTCTTCCTTTTTTAAATTTCATCTAGCACTGTTTTCAAGTATGATGGATGTTCACCATATTGTGACATATTTTGAGCATCATTTTCCATAAGGTGGTTTACCTTATTCACTCAGAAAACTCTAAGACCCTTTTAGAAACATAACACTAACATAGGAGCTAAGTATGATACCAAATTGTTGGAGGAGGGTCACTTGGGTCATTTCAGCTACTCGGCCCCGAAATAATCACACAGAAACCATATTATTTAAATCACTGCCCATTAGCCCTAGCCTCTTATTGGCTAACTTTACATCTTAATTTAACTGATTTTTATTAATCTGTGTGTCGCCACAAGGCTGTGGCTTACTGGGAAAAGTTTCAGCATCTGTGTCCAAGCAGGGCTACATGGCTTCTCTGACTCCTTCTCCTTTCTCCCAGCATTTAGTTTAGTTTTCCCTACCTAGCTCTGTTCTGTCCTGCTATAGGTCCAAAGCAGTCCTTTTTTAACCAATGGCATTCACAACCTACAGAGGAAAATACCACATCACCAGATTAATTTCTTTTTGTTTTCTCATTGAAGAAATTGGGTTTTCCTTTCCACATACCCAAGTGCCTACCTTAGTTGTGGTGTGTAACCTATTCACCAGTCTGGTTCTCAAGTATAAAGCATAAATTCTAATGGCTTAATCCTGTCCCTTAAGCACATGTATGTCTTCCCATACCATATTCCTCACTGTGAGTGAACATTGCAAACATCCATTTTTTTGTGTCTTACATTCCTCAGGGGTTACAAGGCTGGCCGTGCTGTCATGCCCAGACCATCCATCCTTTGCAGTCATTCCTTCTCTCATCAAACCAGTCTTTGATGGATGCCTTCCTTTCCTGTGCTTGCCGGTCATCCTCTCCCCCACCACCTCCACGTTCCTTCTCCTTCAGTCTGCACAAATTGCACAAATGTCCTGTTGGGCTTATTCTTTCTGAATTAAACTCACTTCATTATCTGTATTCTCTCATTTTAACGTAACCAGTGGCTGTGACTCCTCTGATTTTCCCTTTGTCCAGAAATATTTAATCCTATTTCTCGAAAATAACTGTTATCAGTAGTTAGGCCTCCAAGCCTGTGTCTCTTCCTGACCAGTAAACTCTGTAGTTTAATGCTTGCTCAGTTAGCTTTGATGCTTTAGTGACTGTCTATGTGTCAAAACAAAATGCTTTCTGCTGTGCTTTCCCCTACCCTTCATACCTCACTACACGGTGTATAAAATTGTCATTCATTCATTTCTTCTAAATCAATCTTTCCACATGCCCCATATAGTGGTCCCCTTCTGGGTTCCTTCTGTGTGTGCTCTAGTCTGGGATTGCACTGTGTAACTGAGAAAGTCTGTTTCACCTTCTAGAGTGCCTGCGGAAGGCCTGAGGGGCAGGGCAGTGCAGCCACTGGAAGCAACGTCGCTCCCAGTGATTCAATTTTCTTAACTTTAAAAAATTCAATCACGTATAGACATCTAGGTTTAATGTCTCGTTTTGATGATGTTTGAGTCATTAAAAAAAAAAACAGTTGGAATTTAAACCCAAGTAAACGATAAAAGGAAGAGAGATGAAGATTGCCTATGACTGTTCAAGGAGAATCAAGTAACTCCTGGGTAGGCCAGGGTGACTAAAAAGCTGTAAGTTAATGAAACTGAAACCAGCAACAAGAGAACCCTTGTATTGGAGAAACTAAACGAGAGCTGTAGAAGCATGGGGAAGTATGAATGAGACTTCGGCTTTTCTTGGGTCAGTGCTGAGTCTGACTTCTGGCATGGAGAAAGGGTGGGTATGAAGATATGTTTTTGAGTACCTTCGTAACCTAGCCAGACACTTGATGAAGACATTATAGTATTGCTCCATGTTCTCAGAAGTAAATTCTGTTCTGTTCTAATCCAGTATTCAGCCAGACTATGTGGATATTGTGTGTACAATACACTGCTGTTGCTCTCCTGTCTGCTTCTCTTATGTGATTTCTCAGCAGGATGCTGAGAAGATTTGCTTTAAAATTATATTTCAGTAAATACTTTAACTGTGGCCAGAACTAGGTTCTCTGTCTCTCATATTTGTGCCCTATTATTTAAAATATCTATCAGAAAGTTGTGACTAATTGGCTTAATGCTGTTAAATTTAGAAGTGTCCAGTAAACTGGTTCAGTACAGAAAGATGTTGCCAAGGCTGGTGACCTGAGTTCAGTTTCTACATCTCAGAGGGGAAGGGGAGATCTTAACTTCTACAAGTTGTTCTCTGTTGCCCACGCACACACAGTACCACATGTATATGCACACATAAATAACACACAAATGCATGTAAAAACAGAATAAAATTTCTTGAAGTTAATAGTGATGGGCTACGATTTTGGTAACTTCAAGTTGCTATTTAAAATATTTCTAATACTAAATTGAACAATGTATATAGAATACTTTAAAGCCTACCCTGGAACTTAATTTTTGTTTCCATGTTTACTATTCCTCAATAATTCCAATAAAAATAAAACTTTTTCAGTGTGACTTATTTATAAGTCAGATTATTATGTTTGATATTTGTAATACAGTGTGAAAATATTACACATGAGATAATTTACCTGAAGTTGCTTGAAAGCCCACATTGAGGTAACATTTAATAGACCATAATTGTATTTTGTGCTCAGTTATATTTTGATTTTTGTTTACTTGGGCTTAATGAAGTAGTTCTCCAAAAAAAAGTTACAATCCAGTGCTCCAATGTGGGTCTCCGTCTCTATCTCCAGAGAACAGGGGCCAGCTTTATGCCTCTCACTTTTTTTGTGAAACTAGGTTTTAAATGAGATATTTAACTTTTTAAGAAAAATTATTACATATCTGAGATAGTTGGGTAAGAACCATTATTGAAGTTTTATTTTTGATTAAAACGAATGTGTTTGTGATATACTTGGATCAAAATTTTAAATTCTAATATCCAAGATCTACTTACATAGCAATAATCATCCATAGTTTTTAATTGGAACTGCATCGTGTGTCTTTAGTTTGCTTAGTTCCAGGTTTCACAGAGGAATTTTGAAACTTATCTTTAATTTGGGTAAAACCAACAGTGATATGTTTACTATAGGACTGAAATGGAATTCCCATGTTTTCAAATGTTAATGCAATTACTTTTCAAGTTTTTTTTTTTTTTTTGCACATTTAACACAGCCTCCAAGTTGAAGAACATAGTGTGGTTGCTGTTGAACCCTCAAAGCACTGCCTAGATAGCTTAGCAAGATTATGAGAAGCTTTTCATAGTTGAGTCTAACTATCCTAGAAGGAAGTTGTTGCCTTCTGTTTAATTACATTAATTGAAATGTGTTTAGGAAAAATGTTTTCAGGATATTTTGTATGCTGCAAAACACAAAAGAATAGTATTGTGCCAATGGCCAAAGGTAATATTACTACCATGTAGAAGTCTAAATTGACCCACTTCACTCAGAATTTTAGAAACTAGAAGTCTGGGAGATGCTGCATCAGCTGTCTTGGGTAATTCTTAGTGCTGTCCAGGATGAGGAGAAACAAAGCCAGGCTGTACTAGATGCAGAGTATTGTTACACAGAGGCTGGCTAGACTCTAACCGTCAATTCAAATCGTGGAATAGAAAATGTAAAATATGTTCTGTATACTTGCTCTTTAGTGGTCTCCATCATGGTACATCTATTAAATTTATTATTTGTGCAGTTCAGTTCTGAATTTTAGTTATGATTGCCATTTGTGTAGGAAAATGTGGTTGTGAAAGGAATAAAAGAATAGACATGCCCCTCAATGCTATTTTTTAAATCCACTTGTAACTGTTACTCTTATACTTGTGTATGACAAAATAAAATTTGTAAAAAACATTTTAGCATGAAAAATAAAATTTATATCAATGAATTAAATGAATTATTTGACTTATACTCTTGAAATTTTGTAAATATAGATATTTTAGTCCCCTCAGCTTTGTAGAATCTGAGCATGAGCCTCACCTTTGGCATCTCTTTCTTTGATCCACTCTAACTTCCGTTTTTGTCCTCAAGTTTAGATGGAGACTGCTTACTTGTTCCCAAATAAGCCCCCGAAATAACCACACAGAAACTGTATTCATTAAATCACTGCTTAGCCTCTTAGCTCTACCTTCTGATTGGCTAGCTCTTACATCTTAATTTGACCCATCTCTATTAATCTGTGTATCGTCACATAACTGTGGCTTACTGGCAAGGTTCCATCTGGCATCTGTCTCTGGCGGAGCTACATGGCTTCTTCTGACTCCACCTCCCCTTCTTTCCTCCCAGCATTTAGTTTAGTCTTCCCTGCCTAGCTCTGTTCTGCTGTGCTATAGGCCCAAAGCAGTTCCTTTATTAGTCAATGATAATCACAGCATACAGAGGGAAATCCACTTCACTCAAGTTCTACCCATAATATCTCTGGATTCTTATGCATGGAATCTCTATTGCTCCTCTTCCCTTATTCTTTAGAAGAAAAAAAAAAAAGAGGCCTAGGTCCTTTCTCTGGTGTTGAAACCCTTAATTATCTGTTCACAGCCTAACTTTACACCTGTGTCCACCTGTGAGTCTCCACTGGGAACTTGCGTCAGTCCTTTGCTCATGCCGTACATTTATACACAATTCTGTATTCATTTGATCTAGCCTCCGTTATATCTTCTCTAATGCTCAACTCGTATTCCACTTCTTGCTCCCTTTCTTTCCAATGGATTCACAGTTGATAACACTTTCCCAGTTGCCTACTTTTAAATCAGTTGCCTAATCATGAAGGAAAAAGTTTTGTCTGAACCTAAAATGTCTTCTCTTAAACTGAATTTAATAGTGTTTAAAATTTTTATTTAGGTCAGTGTGTATTTTGATATCTTTCTCAACATTGAGTTTTTATTTTAAACACAGTTTTTAAAGTGCTGTAAAAAATAGAATGAGCTGAGGTTAGATGAGATGTGCCCTGTTGGTAGAGTAATGAAGAAAATATTGTTTGTTTTATTTTTTTTAAGTCTGATATTTAAAAAAAAAGTGAAGTAAGGAAGAAGCAACAAGTTGATGAAGCTTTTTATTCTGGTAAATTCTTTTCATCAAAGTTTTTTCATTTTTTAAAATGTAAATTTTAGTTTCCAAAACAGCATATTGTCTAGAATCCCAATATGTGACATCATGTTTGCCTTGATTTAGTGGGGAGCAAAAGGTCAACGTCTGCAGACAGCTTTAAGGCTCAAAAAAGGTGTGTTCATACACCGTAACTGAGCACACTTAAGCTTAAATGTATGTTTCACAGATAGCTTTTCAAATGACAATGAAAAGTGTGATTTTTACTTTCTAAGAAATGGTTTTCTCTGTTTAATGTTTACTCGTGGAAAGAAAAAATTCAGAAATTTTTACAGTGCATTATATTTTATGGTAATATCGGAAGTCAAAATTTGTTCATCATAATCTTGGCAAAATTTATCTTTACTTCATAAGCCCAGCACTAGGAATGGGACACACTATTTACAGCATTTTTAAAATGTCTCCCTGAACTGATCAAGTGCAAAATGAATCCTGACCTTAAATGTAAAAAAACGTTTCTCCCAATGAAATAAAAGCAACTTTGTCTTATAGTTATTTTTGCTCTTTAGAATAAACATAAATGAACTATCAGTGAAACATTGACAATCTAAAATTGATTTTAAAAATGGTCGCATATGGTCTCTTTCACTGTGGTTGTTTACAGAACACAAACTTTCAAATATCTGAAATTGGGGCTTGAGAGATTGTTCAGTGTTAAATAGTGCTTACTTTGCAGCCAGAAGGACTGGAATCTGATCCCAGCAGGAGGGATTGTGGCTGATCACTGCAGCTTGCTAGATTTTAGCCAAACCAAGAAAATAAGGCGCAAGTTCAGGAAGACCCAGCCTCCAGAGGAATAGGTGGGGAGTGGTAGAGTGTGACTCAGTGCCCTCACATGATCTCTACATGAACATGCACTCATGCTGACCTGACACACGTGCATATGCTCAGGTGCATGCATGCGAGCGCGCGCGCGCACACACACACACACACACACACACACACACACATCTTTAAAAATCTGAAATTCCTTACTTGTTTTCTGCCTACATAGTTTTGTGGGTTTTGTTTTGTTCTTCAGATACAGAATTTTCTAAAATGAAATTATTTGAATATTACTTGTCACAATTAATTTAAAAACATAAGTTCCAAACAATAGCTTTCAAAATATTAAAAATAGTGACTCTTGAATAAGTTCATATCTAGATTAAAATAAATCTGATCATACACCCATTTCAGTACTCAGGGGACCAAGTCCAAAGGATCACGCAATCTTGGGTGTTTGAGATCTGCCTGGGCAACATAGTGAGATGCCCCACCTACAGAATTCCAGAAAATATGTGCTTTTAGAACCTTGGGACTATGGAATGCCTGTAATTTTTGTGTACTTCACATTCTTGTAAGACTTATCCCTACATAAAATGTGGTTGACTTATTTGTCTTTTCTTGGCATAGTTTTACTACTACACAGTAATTGTCTTTGATTACTATGCTGGAATGAAACATGACCAAGGCAAGTTTTATAAAAGAAGCATTGAATTGATATTTGCCTGTAATTTCAGAGGGTTAGTCCATGATCACCGTGCCAGGGAACACTGGGGCATATAGGCAGGCATGTTGCTGGAGAAGTAGGTGAGAACTACATCCTGATCTGCTGGCAGTAGGAAGAGAGAAGCACCAGAACTGGTGTAGGCTTTTAAACCCTCAGAGCTCCCACCCCCAATTTTAAAAAATTTCAAATGTGGCATCTGTAACATGAAGGCTGGCTTGTTGGGGTTTCTGTCGCACCTGGTACCCCAACAAGCTGGGAAGCCCCAAAGAAAATCACACAGAGGACTCCATAAGATTATAAACTGATTGGCCCATTAGCTCAGACTACTTATTAGCTCTTATAACTTATGTTAGCCCATTATTTTTTCTATGTTAGCCATATGGCTCAGTACCTTTCTCAGCGGGGCAGCTTACATCTAGCCTCTCCGGTGGTCTGGGCAAAACTGCGGAGGGAGCTCCCTGCTTCCTAGAATACTCCCATTCTCTTTGTTCCACCTCTACTTCCTGTCTGGTCTTCCCGCCTATACTTCCTGCCAGGCCAATCAGCATTTATTTAAAATATAATTGACAGAATACAGATAGTTCTCCCTCACCAGGCATCAGCAATGTGATCCAAAGTCAGGAGGGCCCAACATTATAAACATGTCACCTTGATGCCTGTGATAGAGTACTATCAGCCACACTCATTCTAACGAATGAGATAATATATTTGTGTTTGTATCCAGTTTATTGATACTATTTGAGTTTGTAAGAAAAAGTTAATGGTTAACCTCAAAGGAAACTGGGCAAAGTATCTTATACTACTTGTATCAGGAGGGTCAGCTTACCTGTAAAGCCACATTTGTACATTCCTTTCTTAAATAGTAGCACTGTGACTTCATAACCTTTGGATATGAGGTTTTAATTTTAACTTCCTAATAACGAAACTGACCCATTGCTTTGATAAATGGGTTTTGACTTATGTCTGTTCCCACCACTGTGAGGTCTATTTAAAACAGAGGTATTTTGTAATTCCAGAATCTCCCTTTTCATGACACTCTGATATTCCCTAACTATAACGCTTAGAATTTTGAGAACTTAATTAACATGGTGAGATTGATACCAGATTTTGATTGACCCAATAAACTTTGAGCAACAACTATAAGGCAAAGTGTCAGGTTACAGTAATACATAAATAAAAATGCACATTCTGTTCCAAAATTTAAATGAAGACAGCTAAAAACAAATGTCTTAAAAGACCAATCAATGTTTTAAAACTAGCTTTAGGGGTGGGAATGGAGCCAAGCCCTAGCCCCACACAGGGTGTTGGGAACTCTAACTGAGATTGAAAATAGAAGCAAGATCTTCCCTGGTCACGACTGTAAATATAAGCAAAAGTTAGCTCATTTCTGATAAAGGCTTATTTTAGATAAATATAGCAACCTCAGCCAATAAGTAGCCAACTAGGATGGTTATGTAACTGGGAATTTCCAAATAGATAAATTTTTGGCACGTTTATTGTTTTTGCAGAGTGGAAAATTAAACCTCTGGCTTCATGCATGCTGGACAAGCATTTCACTGAGCTCCATCCTCAGCTCTAAATACTTTATTTTCCTTTCTCATGTTCCTACTAGATAACTCTGACCCTTTGTCGTTGGCCCTCTAGTCAAATATTTCCCAATCCATGCATTTCTTCTTATTCAAACTCTAATGTTACTAGAATTTTATCTAAAAAAAAAGATCTTTAAAAATGAGGCTGGAGCAATTTAGTATACAAAAATAAAGTGGCCCATGTTCTTTCCATCTGGGAAGAACTTCACGCTCCTCTATTCACCGCATTCACATTCATCTTGTGATGAACAAGCCTGAGCTTAAGCAACATTTTAAAGGGATATGAGGTAAAGAAGATGCTAAGGCATCAAACAGCTCTCCAAGCAGCTGATGTTCTATAGGTAGCAAGTAGTGTGCCAGCCTTCCGATGGCCATGTATATTCGCATATCCTCATTGGTCTATCTTCATAAATTGAACAAGTATTTTCTGTGTAAACTATGGATGGCAGAGTTGAACAGGGCTGTACATTACAGAATGGTGAAGAAAATAACTTTTCTTATTAATCCACTAAAGTTGTCATAAATTGTGTATTTTCCATCTTTTGTTAGAAATAGATTATACTTTTTTTTTCCTCTTCAGTCCTCTCTGGGTATTAAACCTGCCTTTATCATTTCACGATATTAAGAAGGCAAATATCTTAAAGCATATATCCCTCTATAAATAGTAGTAAGACAACATTTCCTTGACAACAACGTTGCATGTCGGTGCACTAG